GATATACAACTCAAAGTGGATCCGGTAATCCCAAGTTTTTAGACACTGGAATGAGAGTAGCTCGATAATTTTTTGGAAATTAAGTTTCAGTCTAAAAAAAAACATTGATGTTTTACTATTGGACTATTAGTCTGTGTATTTTTTCCTTTCTAACTGAAAATGGACGCTGTCACGGCTTGTCAATTTAGGCTCTTTGTTAACGTTCTCGTTACTCCTTACGAGACGTAAATATGTTGCTCATTCGTTCATTTTATTTTGGTGTGATTTCGTCCTACTTACCTCTCATTCCATCCCTCAGTCAACAGAGATATTAGATAACGAACCATCCTGCCGCTCAATGCCAATATCTCTTCAAGCTCTCACATGGGAAGAGAGGGAGCGCCTTTTGTCCAAGTCTCAGGGACTTTCTCGAAAATTCCCTTCCGCGGACCCCCTCCCTACCCTTCCAAGGTCCGGCGAGGAAACTACCAGCAGTGTTGGAGACGGTGGCAAGAATCACAAAATAGGAGACTGTTGCAGTCCAATTGCTCGAATTCGGAGTCTTGAAGAGATTCAGGCAAAATCATCGGGTTTTCTAGAGAAACAAATGGCAACACTGCTTGTTGCTTCGAGGTTTTGTGGCAAGGACGAAAAAGTTGTTATTGAGGTAGCAGCTTTTGATGAAGATATTCATAAAAGTGAGTCTGAAGATGTTGTGTCGCTGAGTGATTGGCTCTTCGCCATGCGTGAACACATTGAAGAGCAAGGTTAGTTGATGGCTTTCTTTAAGCGCACACCGATTCAAAGTTCAAGCTTTATTTTGCATTACTTTTCTGTTGGCGGATTTCCTTCAGTAAAATGGGGTGTTGAGGCATTTGGACATGAGGTGTACATTCCAGAGGCGACCTCTCTCACCAAACATGGGACCGTCATATGTGCATCAACAATTCCGGACATTCCAGCTGCATCTTTGGAAGCATTGTGTTCTTCCACCACCAAAGAGGTCTCCGAACCTCCTGTCACTGTGCTCTGATTGCTCACCCTCTCTTCCTTCTTGTTTCTATCGCCTCCTCATCTTCCTCCATGCGCCTAACTGTCAGCTGTTTCCTTGCATCACTTTAATCATGTCTAGTTTGTAACTTTTATGTCAACTATTTTTAGGCCCATTTTCCATTTTTATTGCCACGCTTTTGATAGTTGGTGCTATAATGAATGCGTTAATTATTTGAAAAGGTCCAGCAGTATGGATGAAAACAGCTACTTTTGAAGTTATGGACGGTGTGGTGATAATGACAGGTATAGCTTCATGCAACATTTCTCAAATTTATGGAGGTATTTTAATGCTCTCGTGATGTTGGCGGGGTGCAAACAG